AACATTACCTCTGCTTGATTTTTTGCTCTATCCTGTCTATGAGGTGCCAAACTGTGCTGGCATCAGTGCGCAAGAGAGCCAGAGAGCATTCACTCTGCTTCGCGCTCAACTAGTTTTTTTAATAATCAAATGTCTTCGCATCGCACGACACAACGAATCGATTATGAAATTTGTTGCCAACGCTTTTAGTAATCGACTTTAATTGTTTTAATTAATTCGTTGTTGCAGCCCTAAAAAGTTTACATTCTGTAGGCTCAACCATTTTTTTAAATGCTCAACTAACAATGCTTCTGCCTTTTATAAAAAGGAACACTTCCATTGACAACAACGGAAAACGAACAAAAAAATGCTCAGCTCAGGAAAAATATGCTTGGACCTACACCCTAAAGGCCAGCATACTGTACACCAAGCTAACAATCTGCCTTTGAGCAATGTTGAGCAGTAAATGAGCGTCTGTCAGGCTAGTTTATTTGGTGTCTTCCACACGTCGCTTCTTGTCAGGCTTATAATGGTGGAAGTTCACCTGATTCAGCATGTAAAATTGTGTTCAAGCACAGCATTTTGTGAGGAAACAGCCGGTTTTCATCATCACTAATTCTTTGACATTGACTTGGTGTGTCCCAGGCTTATGGGGTTGAATTTCTTGAATGGGTTAAATGGCCAGTGCACTTCAACAAAATGCCCCATAAAGCTTTGCATTAATCCATAATAATAAGACATGTTTTTTTTTTTTTTGGATAGTTTTCTTTAGGGCAACAGTATCTCTACACGATATATCGTTTTAGCATTGATATTAAAATATGCACATTCACAATAGTCACAATGCCAGATATGCAATGTCGAGTCATAGTAGACCATTATAATGAATTATAGTAGACCAGGAGCAACAGAATTGTATTTCATTACTGTATTTATATCAAATTTATACGATATATTGTTTTCTTGTTTCTAGTCTAAATATCTACATTTCACAGTGAAAACATTATCTTTAGATATTTAAATTAGAAACGAGACTGCACAAAGTAACTGTGCATTTACACAAAAGGCGACGAGAGCATCAAAGTAGCCAAAAGTTATTAATTTTCAATGTGAGCCAGCGTCAATAAGCAGCGAGGAGCGGCGTGGTGCGTCTACGCTGGTTTGGGCATCGAGGGGAGTTGAAATCAAGTCAACTTTATGGTAATGATGAGCTATGAGTTTGTAAGCAATCAGAATGTAGAAGTCCACCACTTGAGAGGATTCCAGAGAACTTAGTCCTGTGAAATTTGGTTCCGACCACAGATGTTCCCAAGAGTTTTAGTATTGCAGTCGCCGGTTTTCCAATTATTTACAATATTTTCTCACAGGAACATAAATATAAAAAAGTTACTGGCGAGATATGCTCCAATAGCTCCTTTAAATATGAGATCAATGTAGTGAATTTTGACGCTCTCGCCGCCGGAGCTGTGAAAGCAGACAGCATTGTTGCCAGGGCAACCAGAGTGAATTTGGATGCCCTCGCTGACTTTGGTGAATGTTTGTTTGTTTGTTTGTTTGTTTGCTTTATTTATAGAGCACATTTAAAAACAACAGATGTTGACCAAAGTGCTTTACAAAACGACCAGCATACAAAATCTATACCTATATATAAAAATTAAGCAAAATCGCACAGTAAGAAAAGCTTTTTTTGCATTGTGATTATTTAATTTATCTTTCAGAATACGACTATCTGAGTAAGACTTTCTAGAAAACAACTGTTCAAAGAGCTATTAAAACCATCTGGTCAAACTATAATGATATTTCAATATTATCGCAGAAAAATAAAATATAGCAATCAGTTTTTTTAATATCGAGCTGCCCTACTATGGAGGATGAGAGAGGACTCAGATGTTATTTAATATATCTCAACTTGTGTTCTGAAGATGAATAAGGATCTCATCGGTTTGGAATGACATGAGGGTGCGTAATTAATAATAATTTTTATTTTTGGGTGAATGATTTTGAGATGATTTTATTGATGAAAACAGAATCTTTAACCTTCTAATATGCATACTAGGTCTGCACAATATATAATTTCAGCATATAATAATATAGTAATATATAGCAATAGTACCATTGCAGGATATGCTGAGTTTGTCACAATTTATCCTTTTTATGTGTTTTAATGCCTTTGATTGTTTAATGGTTTTAAAAGCATTCAGGTATAAGAGATTGTAACGTGACCTTAACTACGATTCATTTTACTGAATTATTTTTATTGCTATCATTCAGTTACTGTTACTCTTTATTTCTGTTGCATGTTTCTCTTGACTGTATTTATAGATAGTTGTGCATGTAAATACTCACAACACATGCAAATACAGAAATGCACTGCAAATAGCACAGAACCCAACATAAACGTGTCGGAGGACCCCAAAAAATGTATAGATTGTTTATTAAATTTTATGGAGATGCACTCCAACTGCAGAATCATTCCAAAATATCTAACATTATAAATTATTTCCAAAAATATTAAGCTATCTGGTGAAATTTTGTTCATATCACAAAACAAAAACATATTGCAGTGCTAGAATTTTTGTATTGTGCAGTTCT